CGTAATTTTACTATATTTGGCTCCTAATTTCATGAGTAGTATATTGACTAATCCGTGTGTTTTAAATTTTTTTGTTTTTGTTGCACGGTGTTACAATTTAATTTTCAGGGATTAGTAGATTGAGGTGTCCACCCCTATACTGAAATCGGTCGATCTTAAGAACTGTAAAGTCTTAAGCGAATCTAAGTGATTTTTTTTGCCGCTATCTTGAATTTGCAATTCGAACTTCAGATTCGTAATCAGCGACCCCAAAATCTCTCGAATAACAAGTTTCAAGCGAATACAAGGAAATTTTAAAAATACGTCCGCCATATTGAATCCGCCATTTTGAATTTTAGATTCTATCTCTTTGCAATCGAACTCTATGTTTACTTTAGTTGCTTACAATTTTGGACAGAGCTCTGGGCCGGTTGATGTGAAATGTCCCATTTACATATATACATATATATACATATATATAAGAATTGCTCGTTTAAAGTAATAAGAATATAAGTCTATTATATAAATACATACATACATACGTAATTTATCAATCAATTTTAGTAAACCACTGTTTTTTTTTCAAAACATCACTTCCGTAAAATACATTGGACTTAATTGATATATGTCGATAATTTTTCAAAAATATTTATTTTGAAAGTGGCATAAGTCTCTTTACCTTAATCAAATGTTGTGATTTTTCCATGAATATACTTACGAAATTATTTATACTGAGAAAAATAGAGACATCCTAAAATAGAAATCGATTTAGAAACAAAGGGACTTATGCTACTTTCAAAAAAACAGCTCATTTGTTAAAATTCATCGAATTTTTATATGTAAATGTTCAACAAAGTTTGACTTTTTGATAATGTACAAGGTTTTGTTGGATAGTAAGCTAAGAATTAACATTTTTTAAACAAAGAAAAATGGTCAAAACTTGCTAAAATGTCTCTTAGCTTTTTACATTCTCGCCACCGTATATACATAAATATGTACAGGAGCACAATTACCGTTCCTTCATCCTTTCGTCTCAACACCAACTGCACCAGAAGTGGTATTCATTACGTTTATAACGAGCGATTGACAAATATGTAATTAGTTGGCAATTTAATTATGTAAACAATTGCCTTGCAGCGCTAGGTAGTAGTCGGTAGTGTACTCGTATGTATTGGTATAACAGTTAATTTTTACTCTACTTTGTTATTGTGGTTATTGTTCGTGCTACTCGACTGCTAATTGCGCATACACATGTTACCAATTTCGATTTATAATTCATTGACGAGTTTGGCTTGCTTACCCTTTAACCACAAAGTTACAGCCCACTTTTGGCTACCAAAGGGCGTTTGCGTTTATTCAACGGATACGCGGCTAAATACTACACAGTTCAGTTAGGTTCAGACAAGTTCCAACACTCAACTAGCCAACTGAGGTATCGATACATAGATACCACGTAAAGCGAATAATTACACAATTTTTTTCACATTCTTTCGTTTTTAAATATTTCAAATTTTTTGTTTGTTCTAGTTTGAAATTACTTTCAGTGGGCGGTTTGATTGTTGGCCAAACAATGGACAGCTCCAAGTTGAGTAGAATGTGGCAGTTATTTGTATGTACATAGGTTCGTGTATAAGCCGACAGGTAGATAAGTTAAAAGTGTCATACGCCAGCCATGTGACCCTTCTCACAGGATAATTAAAATAAGAGTTGGCGTAGTCCAATTTAGTGAAAGTTGGAGACATTTGTTTGTTTAAATATTGCCAGCTCCTAATGGGTAACGTAGAACCTCGCTAATCCGGATGAGTAATTGTATCGTCATGAACTATTTACAAAGAATAAAATTACATATTTCAACTTTCAATTCTTCTTTTTTTATGGATATTTTCATGGTATTTTTTTGCTGTCAGTGTACCACTGCATGGTGCTGGTCGGCATATTGCCCATCATGCTGGAGTAGCCTTAGTGCAAAGCTCTTTCTTAAATATCCTGTCGAAAACGATTAACTTATTTATATCATCCCTTGGGAATAGCGCCAGTGAGAGCTGGTATCCTAGCTGGATTCCTAGACGATAAGACCTTGCCCTTACCATAACCATCTCCTGCTAAATTTAGGAAAGTACGTCTGGCAGGCAGCCTGCTCTATGGTGATGTGCAGTGGTTCAAGCTCAAGAACTACCTCTAGTGCTGTGCGCATTGCTCCAGTAATGCATACACAAGTCAGACGTTGCAACTTGGTTAGAGATTGTCTCACCATGGTCAACAGGGCCGGATTTAAGCACAGGCCAGGGGCCCGCGCCATTTGAAAAATTAAAAAATTAAGCAAAAATATATATTTACAATTTTTAAGAAGTGTAGGAGGCACTGAAGGCGCGTCAATCAAACACATATTTAGTTTGTTTTTTTACGCTAATCGAAAGGGATTCACATTTAATACAACGTACTTTAAATACTAAATCAGCAGCTGCTGCAATTCACTTCCATTTGAAATTCAACCAAAACCACTTTGAATTCAAATTGAATGCGGTTTTAATTCCCTCGGGAGTGAATTGCAGAACCTAGCTGAACCAGTTTCATCCAGACTATGAAACAAATCAAAAAGTTGTTAGCAAACAAATATGGATGTACAAACTTTTGTTTGATTATAACGTCAAAGAGTGCTTCCCAAATGTAGAAGTTGCGTCAAGAATGTTCCGTTCTGCCAAGGTCATCAACAGTTCAGCAGAAAGTTCATTTTCTAAACTGAAGCTGATAACAAACCGACTTCGGACGTCCATAACGGAAAACCGGCTGAACTTTTTGGTTTCTTTTCACGCAGTTTCTTACAAAAATAAATAATAACACCGTCCACAAAAAAAAATTGCCAAAAGTCAACGTTGTTAGAAACTGCAATCTTGCACTTTGTTATACTAAAATTTAATGGACTATAAAATTGCATACTTAGAATTTATTGATGAATTACCATCTCATAAGCTGGTAACAAAGCCTAGGAGCCCATAGATCCTAAATCCGGTACTGGTGGTCCAGGTAGTTCTTGAAGTGCAAGCCACCGCCCCGTAGGTCACTAATGGTCGTAACTTTATGGTGCATATCCATCTTAGAATCCTTGGGCTGCACCCCAGAACTTCGGTGCACACCATTAGTACCCTTGTAGCCTTTGATGTGGTCGCTTCTACGTGAGATCTCCATAGAAGCATAGAAGTGAGGATTAGACCCTGATTAATAACCTCGCAAAGTACAGTCTTATAGGTAGACTCTAACAGGTTTATTCTGCGCTGGTAATAAAAAGTTTGTAACCGGTAAATAAAGTTCCTGTCAAGTTTTAAACCCTTTTCGCATTCTCTGTACTCTTGTAACCGGCAAATATTGTTACCATCTCATAACCTGGTAACAAAGTATTACCCCGTGAAATATGCAATGCCAGAATCTGCACAATTCTTCATAGCTGAATTGCTGAATATTTTAACTGCATTACCAACGAATTTAGAATCGCGGTGACAAAAACTGGTAACATTTTTTGGGAATAAAATTTTCCGGTTACAAAATCTTCGGTAACGTGCAGAATAAACCTGCTAAAAATTACTTTTTGAAAATAATTTCAGAGTAGTTGGAGACTTAAAATTCCGATGGCATTTTTGATTTTTCGGTTTTTTATGCATATTTCTATTTAGCCAAGAAATAACTATTTAAACTTCATTTCCCACGACAGTCGGTCTAGTAACCGGAACGACCCAGATTTATATCTGGCAACATTCCCCAAAAACTCTTTGAGGAATTTGTATGCTGTTACAACAAGAAACAGTTTTTATCCGTAATATCTTGGCCGAAGTCAAATCGAACTTCTGTCCCTGAAAATGAAAGGAGCCAAGATTTTTATTTAGATTAAATATATTTAAAGTAAATATTTCTTAAAGTTCCCAATTTTATATCAAAAAATTATTCAATGATTCTCGAAAATATTAAGAATTTGGCTGATTATGATTCCGAATAAATATAAAAATATAAATATTTGTATATATCTATTAAATAGAAGCAAAGGGTTGGCTTTCCAAAACGGAACCAATCGAGATTTCAGCGAAAGTATATGGAATTTAGTCATGAAACTTGGTCAGGATGTTGGGGGAGGCTTTCTCTACATGAATGTATCACTCTCACAAAGTAGTTGCTAATAGTATTTAAGCAGATTGTTGTTAAATAATCTTCACTACCACCCCCAACTTTTTGTACAAAACGCCACTTATCAATTGTATTTTGGTTGATATACAATATCTTCAATGTTCACGTGCGTATTTGATACTTTTAATATATATATATTCATCAATTAATTAACTAAAACGCGTTTATAAATCCGTTCACACGTTTTTGCACTTTTCACAAACAAACAGAAATAACAATGGCCGACAGTAACAGCAAATGTGTGCTGCCATACTTCTCGAAGCTATAAAATACAACTATAAACCATATCATTTTCGATTTTGATCCAAGGGCTTTTTATTATAAAATCGATACTTCGATAAATCATGAAAATTTTTAATAAAAAATCGCGCGATTTTTATTATAAAATCGATCATGCGATAAATTATGAAAATTTTTAATTAAAATTCGCGCGCTTTTTATTATAAAATCGATCATGCGATAAATTATGAAAATTTTTAATTAAAAATTTTGGACTGCGGCGTATGTGCATTTTTTCATTGTTTCCGTTTTGTGTTTTTTTTTTTGCCTTTTTTAGTATGTATGGCAGCACCGGCATTTCAGTTCAATTGGTGTACAAGGGAAAAAGTGAGGTTGAATTCGGAATTTTTTGCAAGCCTGGATCCGTTTTGGAAAATTTTCCCCAAATTTCCGCCAGATTTGACCACAGTGCTCTACACGTCATTGCCATTTATTTACGAAATGTAAATGCAACAGGGTGTAAACAGTGTTTATCACCCTATACTTCCGGTAGTGCCTTCCAGTGACGTCCGGTAGTGCATTCCAGTGGAAGTTTTGTGATCTTCCCTGTTCTGACATTCATTCTTGTTTTTGTTTTGTGTTTCTGATAAATTTTGGCTAAATTTGACATTTCCTTTTGGACGTAAAATTGGCGGCAACAGCTGTAAATAAAAGATTGGAAAAAGGAAAAATTGGCAAGGAAGAAAGTCTGAAAAAACAGTTAATTATTTTGCGAAAGTTTTTCCGAATCGTCCGCTCTAGTTTCGTTACATTTATGTACATATTTGTTTGTTGAGTGCTGATTATTTAGTTTAGGTAATTTCGTAAGCAAACGAGATGCTCAATTTAAATTGTGTTATTTGTGCTGAGCTCTTCGTCGCCTCCGATGATGTGCGTGCCACCAATTGTGGTCATATGTTTCACCACACTTGTCTCAAACAATGGATGGAGCGGTAAGTGTGCCACAATCTCCACGAATAGTTTTAGATGAAAACATAACTATTCTATTTACATACACATGAAACAGTTCAAAGTCCTGCCCTCAGTGCCGTAACAAGTGTACGGACCGAAATGTATTCCGCATTTACTTCAATTTGGCGAATCTGGATGCCAGTACAATAGACGTAGGCTCCCTGCAGGAACAAGTAGATAACACAAATTTGCAGTTGAAAATGAAAGAACAGGAGCTTAACAAAGCGGAAAGGCAGATTAAGGAGCTTAAAGACCGGCAAATAATGGCAGCGTAAATTCAATTATACAAATTTAACATTTTAAATTCATGAAATTAATCTGTTCTTTATATTTACTAAATAGAAAAACAATTCAAGCGATGGAGGCTAGAATCCAGAAAAATGATTTCGCGATTCTTACGTATTCAGAGCAAGTTAGTACTGCATTTGTTTTTGCAAATCATATAACCATATATGGTACTTTTTTCCGATTGTAGCTGAAAATCCTCAAGACTGAAGCAAAAATGGCCGATGACTACCGTAAGGAGGTGGAGCGGCTAAAACAACAAATAAAAACAATCGAGTCTGTACAGTCCATACTCGCAGCTACAAATGTTGAAGCTGAAAAAATGCTCAAACTTGAAAAGGACCCCTTACGTTTGAGCACTTGGGTGGCGGCACTTAAGCGGTTAGTATATAAAAAGTAAAAAATGACTTTAAACTTTAAAGCCATTCTACCGAAATTTTTTTTTGGAAATGCAGCTGAAATAGCAGACATTTGCTGGATGATACTCACTGTGAGGACGTTTACTTACGCCATCCTTAGTATTTATTTATATTGTAGGTATTCACACCAACATCAATTCATCGGTTCAGTTGATTACCTGGTTAAATTTTTAATGCAGCTAACAACAACAAAACGCACTGGAATAACAATCTGCGACCAGGTAATCTGTTAACCAAGAAGGTGTGAATGCTTACATAAGTTCTATGTTTACAGTTGTATATATCGTCGCTACCATGTCAAACTATCCAATGTGCGAAAATGCTTTTACAATTACGATACCTTGCGCATGCATTTAGGGGGCAACGCAAATGCGCAAGTCGTCAAATTTCGAGTATTAGAAGCAGAGAATACAAAGTGTCGAATCCCACACTTTTTTCCAAGGACAACAACATTTTTTACAACAGTTTCTTTGCTCTTCTGAAAATTACCCATTTTCACATTCGCTAGTTTGACATGGTAGTGACGATATGTCGACTACAGTTTTTATTCCTATTCAAATATAGTGAGCTACGTACCTGTGAAACCAAGAAAACGGATCTTAGGAGAGCAATGAAAGTTATGCAGGACAACTTGCGTCAAGAAATGGCCACGAAAAGGTAACATAATCCTTCAATATGTTTTAATTGCCGTTTATATGTTTGCCTTCTGTTCAATTCGCAGATCTTGTGAGGAACGCATTTCACTATTAGAAAGTGAAAATTATCAGCTACAAGAGAGAGTAATAAAGGCTTCAATTCTAAAGACTCTATCTCTGAAACTCTACTTTCTTCCAGATTAAAAAGCAGGAGACAAAAGCGTCGCCAAGCTTTATGACTGATCATCGACGTCGGAGCACTGAATCAGCGCCGATTGCCTTACCCGAAAAACGCCAAACTTTGTCGCCGACAATTGTTCGTAAAATATCAAACTTTATAAGTCTTTTATACTTACATTCATTTCTATATCGTCTTTTTGTAGAAGGAAAATATTAAAGTTATTGAAGACTCCAACTCGCCATATCTCAATATTAAATCAAGCAGCATAGGTCTTCTGCCATTATTTAAGCGTAATCAAGAAATTCAGCAAGATCGTACAGCAATTACTACAACAAAATTAGCCACATTGAAAATATCGCCGAAAAAGACTGAGAAAGGAATTTCCGCTAATGGCATAAGCAGTAGTTCTGGAATGCTGCGTAAAACTCAAAGTGATATCACAGAAAAGGTTAATTTGGAGTCTCATAAATCTTGAATTGTATTAATTTACCCTCAAATATTTCATATTTAGTATTCCATTATGAAAAAACCTCGCTTGGCTATAAGCACTTCCTCAGCAACTGGCAAACACTTTGGCATGAACTTTGAGCTGAGTGCTACGCGTACAGGATCTCCCACAAAACCCAAACCAATTGGGAGCACTTTGGACAGCCGACTAAGAGCTGGTGGACTGCGCAATTTTAAGTTAAACAAATGATGTCTGCTGGCCGACTTGCATTTGCAATTAATTTATAGCCAGCATGTATTTAAATTAATGTAAATTAGATATTTATGAGATTTTTTTATTATTGTGTGCTATTAAGTTTAATTATTTTGTAGTCTTAAACAAGTTTTTTTTTACTTTTGCAATTGTATGGGCGCATTTTGATACTCGCACGACATGCATTTCTAGCCCATAATCCAAGAGGATTTAGCCAACCAAGAGCTATTGATTCAGCTATTTAGCCCTGTTAAAGTGAAATGAGACGTGGAATGGCTGAAATGTACAGAAAACTTTTGTTGGAAAAATTACATGTATAATGAGATATTAACTGTGGGCAACGCATGCATCCAACAAAAAAGATGGCATTTGTTATAAAAGGCTATGTTTATTAAGGTTAATTGATTCGCGTTTTTTTTTTTTGCTTTTCGTATGAATGTAGAAAATTTTTCAAATAAATAGATGTTATAATCAGATGTTTGATTTGTAATAATACATATATATAAATATTCAATTACTAGATGCAAATGCCATGGTTTGAAAGCAGTTTCAGCGGTGTTGCTTTATGTAATACAAGCTCATATAAAAAGAATGTAGTAAGTCATAATTTTCTCAGCATATATGCTTGCAGATTGCTTAGCTCTCACATGCCAATAATTTTCTTCTCAGCTACGCCGGTAAATTCTTCACGAAGTTCCACTTTACACCCTAAATCTCGAAGCGCGGCCTTTATATCCTGTTGTATGGACGGATGAGAACTCATTGCAGCATTCAACAAATCTTCTACACCATATGAAAGCCAGCTCTCACATTGATCTCGTGAACGAGAAACCATATTTCGAATGGACCAAGCACCGTTACGCTATTTAAGAAAAAAACAAAATGAAAATTGCAATAACTAAATGCTTGAAGACACATTATTACCTGAATAATTTTGTTATTAGGATGTTTGCGCAAAGTTTCTACAATTGCTTCTGCTATACCAGTGCCAAAGAAGACAACGCTGTTATCTTTTACCCGCAAAGTCAATGTTGCGACGCAAGCCAATGCGGCAGAGACTACATTTTCATTGGTCTGTGGAAGATTGTTTTAATGTTATAGATGAATCTCATATTTGACATAATACTTACCATATGCATTTCCAGCACCTGTTTGATAATAGGCGCTACGCCCTGTTGCACTATATGTGCCTTTACGGTATCATTTCCCCCCAACGCCCGCACCAATTTCAGAGCTTCACGGTTTACACGTGTAGATGTTGAGTTTTCGATCTTAAAATAATTAAAAATTTTAATGAACATTTTTTTGTAAGATTATACAATTTGCATACACATATGTAGGTAATATTTGGATGCTCACCATAATATCAAAAACTAATTTAAGTCCACCAGCATCTTCAATTGTTGTGCAGAATTCTTGGCGTACAGCCAACGCACCGATTGTTAACATCAAATCCGCCAAAACATTTGGATCTTTATATTCGCCTAATAACTTTGTTAAATCAACAATATATTCGCTGGCAATGCGGCGTGCATGTTCATGCGCACATCCAAATTCCACGCGTATGTCGTCGTCCAGCACTAAATAGCGTAGAACCGCAAGAACTTCACGTATTAGCTTAACGCTGTTTTGCTTCGAAACAAGTGGCTTCAATTTTTTTATCACGCCCGCATTTGCGATGTTTTGGCGATTGATTTCATGCATTATGCTAGCCTTTTGTAGCCATTGCAGTGTCAAAATCGTAATGTCTTCATTTTCGATGGCCAATAATTTAAGAATGATAGCCAGTGCCTCAGCATCAAAAATATCCGGTTGCTTATTTGTAAAACTATTGGCAGCTTTGAGACAGCCTTCCAATACAGGTAAATTAGGTTTAAATTCTTCCGCAGATTGTTGAGTAGCGAGCTCCTGCTCTAACAGCGTAACGAGCGCTTCATGGGCACCATTTTTACCAGCGAGAACGCGATGTGAAATAGACTGAGAAGGGTTTGTGAAAAGCAAGTGATGCTAAGCGGAAAGTAAGAATACATTACCTTTTGACATTCGGTATCTAAGACATTCAAATTATCCAGGAGTTTCTCAGTATCGGTTGATTTTTGGCCTATATACGTTTTAATTTCATCAATAATTTCATTCAACACCGGCTTACCAGAGTCGGGATTTATAGTCAAATCTTTTATGATGTTAGCCAAATTTATTCCCTAGTACCAAATAATGCAGTGTTTAGTGAGTGGGAGAGAATGGCGACACCCATTCACACTCCAATAATATACATAAATATATTCGCTGAAAATTCATGTATTACTTACCTGTGCCTCAAATTGTTTGATTGTCTCTTCTTTGGCTTCGTCCGGAGCCATTGAAAAGTCGACAATATTTTCCTTCACTACCTCATCAAAGGTTTCTTGCGAAATAACTTTAGCCATTCTGCAGCTGATTTGTAATTTTTTATTTAGCTGGGGATGAAGTCATAAAACCACCCACTCACCTGGTTTTCGTAATGGAAAATATTTTCCTTCTGGATTCTGCTAACCTTTGAATTTAATCCAATTAAAGCACCGATTATTAAATGCTTCTATGCAGCTCCAGGACCTTTTTAGTGCATCGGAATTTTTAACTCTACAAGTGAAATTTCTAATTTTATTAACACGATTAATTTTGCCAATATTTGTTTTTTTTTTGACGTCTCTTTTTTCTGCTGTTGTTTTATTTTTCCGTTTTCAGCTGATTTTGAAGCATCTGTCATCAAAGAAACTTCAGCAATGATAATAGTTGCGTTCCCTAACTCGCAAGAAGTTTTTGGGTTGGCTTTCCTTTATGAGCGATGGTTAAAGAGACGGTGCTTTACGCGAATTTTCCCACGGGCACTGTCAATAACTTGTTCGATGTGGGCGATACGTATAAACGTAGTATTAATGAGAAAATAGCTGTCAAACAACAAAATGACAGTTGAAAGCAACGAAGAGCTCGCAAACCGTTGCAAGAAAAAGTTTGCTTCGTACGACTGGGTTCACACAGAGAAACTTTTGTTGCTTATTTTCGGCAACTTCTCTTTTGGTGTTGCCCCTCGCGTTCACACAGAGCAATTCTTTTGTACACAATTGTTTTTGTCAGCTGTGAACGGCCATCTATAATTACTCAGACGAACGAGAGCACAAAGCGTGTTGCTCGAGCACGAGCACGGTGGGGCCCTTCCCCCCTCCTCGTCACTCCCTCTTCCACAAGTAACGAGTTGCCGCGACAAAAGTTTCTCTGTCTGAACCTAGACTACTTATTGCGATCTAGACGTGCGGGATCTCGCCCGCTTCGTCACTCAAGTGAGATTTGCAAGCAGGTGAAGACGGGCTATTAGTATGTAACATAAGACTTGGTAACTCTGGTGAATCGAAACAAAAAATTGGCAACGGAGGAAAAGATAAAGATGTAGGGGAAGCAACAAAAGAAAATTTGACGTAAATGGCACAAAGAAGAAAATCTTGCACACGTTTGTCACGGTTTTGGTTTGTCTGTCGCATTTTTGCTTTAAATTTTCAACTAAACAAGGAAAAATTGCAAAATCCATACGAATAATAAGAAAATTTGTAAAAATCAATCAATATTAGTTGAAACCCAGCATTTTCGAAGTTTCATTCGACAGAATGGCCGACGATTGGGGTAAGTAGCTGTTCTGGAATGTTGTCGATTCATCATCAGTGGCTGCCACAGTGCGCACTCAAGCCTTTTTTGTCATTGAAACTGCCACAAAAACGCTGCATTGACAGCAGCAATTTCACTTTATAGCACAAGGGCAGCAATGAGTTGACTTAAAAAAAAAATTATGCAAGCAAAAAATACAACTATTTTTAGTCACATTTCGGTATTAACATACAAAAATTTCGTTTTATAGAGGCAGCTGCTGACGAGGAGGTGATCATACGTCCTAAAATCACAAATGATGTGAACAAATGGGAAGGAGAAGATGACGATGAAGACGTAAAGGTAAAATATCGAATTATTTATGTAGATATTGCATATCGTTTAGAATGTAAATAATCTTCATAGTGCATTTTTTATGGAACATTTTTTGTTTAGTACTAAGACATTCCTGCCTTCTAACAGTATTAACATTTTAACTGCCCTTTACACTATTCGTTCAACGCCTAACATTTAATTTAGTTTACTTTTACACTTCCACGTGGTCAATTATTTGTTTGCTTTGCACAATTTTAATCACAACCAGTTTTCAAAACGTTTTGCTTTGATTGCAAATCTTAATGCTTGTGCCATGTATGTATTGACAATAATCAGCAAAAGCTTACAAAAAAAAATCCATCTGTACATGCATATCATCGTTTAAAGTACAAAACCGCGTATCAACGAAATGCAAAACCTCGTATCAAGATAATGCAAACCCTCGTATCAAGATAATGCAAAACCGCGTATGTGAGGTTGCATAAATTATATTTTAGAGTAAAAACATTCATATTTCAAAATGGTTCTCTTTTTTATAAAGCAGTTGCATTTCTGGCTAGTATATTTCAGACCGAATTGATAAGGATTGAGCCAAGAACTTGTGTGAGCAAATCCAATTTTTGGCCGCAAATGTCAGTTACCCAATTTTGCAGAATGTCGATACGCGGTTTTGTACTTTAAACGAAGATATGCAGTCTTACTTCTCTATAGATAACGAACTTCTATATAAAGACGTTTTCTCTATTGCGAAACCACCTCAAGAATGTTCTACTCCTTAAAACGAATTTCCATATAGCGAAATTTTCTTTATAGCTAACAATTTTTGCAGCGTTACTGAAAGGTTATCGCTTTCAATCTCCGTATAAGGAATTTAGTTTTCTTTACCAATAAAGTTATACTCTGTTCAAGGGAACACGAAAATTTTTAAATTGTATGATCAGTTATTGCTACCGGGAAAAATTCTACTAATCGCAAAAGCAGTTCCAGAAAACACTGCTAAGAAATTTGGCTTCCCCCCGGAAATTTATCATCAAGGTTTAAACGCAAAAAGGGTTGAAAAGAAGAAAATAACGTCCTAACACTGAATTTGTATAAACAAATGTTATTGACGAGGAAAAGAGGAGAAATGTACTTAAACCAAAATAATTGATACCACGACATACGGATATATTTAACCGGTACGACCGGATTAATATTTGTCCAAGGACTGTCACTCCAGCACGACGTGCTAAAACTCTTTGGGGAATTCGTTATACTAATAAAAATGTAACATAGCTATATTTTTCCTTTTGCTATATAACGAAGTAGTATTTTGGAATTCGTTAAAGACAAGTTTTACGATATATGAATATGTGTATGTACATAAGTGGTATATAAAATTCATATTTGGTTAACTAGGATTTGAGCGCTAAATAGCTAATACATTTTTGTAATTTATATCAATATGGATGCACATATGTACATTTAAGTTTAATGGCATTATAATTTTTGGCATACAGGACAGTTGGGAAGACGAGGAAGAAAAGAAAGATGAGGAAAAGTCCGAGTCAAAAACACCAGTGCCAACAAAAACTAAACCAAACAAAGCTTTGAAAGCCAAATTATCAGAACAAGAGGTATTTCAGTAAAGAAATGTATAAAATACTATGTATTTTAAAATTTTTATTGTATCGCTGATAAAATTGAGATTATTTTTTTTTTTTATACTAGCGCTTACGTTTGACTAACATATTTTTTTCTATAGCGCCTAGCAGAAGAAGAGGAAGAGAAACGTTTAGCTAATTTAACGCCAGAGGAAAGGTTAGCAGAAAAACTACGGTTGCAAAAAATTCAGGAAGAATCAGACCTCAAAAGCGCACTTGAAACATTTGGTGTATCAAATCTTGGTGGCGGGCTGGACGCCTTTAATCCACAAACGAAAGAAGACTTCAAGGAATTCGGCGCGACGCTCAGTTGGAAATTGTCACAATACAAAGAGTCACCACATTTCCCTCAATTTGTTGAAGATCTAGTACGTAGCATATGTGTGAATTGTAAGTGTATGAAATAGATGTAATACATATAGATAAATACATATCATCTTATGCGATATTTAAACATTTATTTTGTTTTCATTTCAGTGTCTGCCTCGGATATTAAGAAGGTGAAAATTAACGTAGAAACCTTGCACACAGAGAAGCTCAAAATGGAAAAACAAAATTCGAAAAAGCCTGCTAGTAAAGGAAAAGTCAAAGTCACACTGCGTACAGAAACTGATGTATGTATTAACAAATTTAATATACTATACTTTTTTACCGTAACTGGATTATTTTACATATTTGATATTCTCTTGGCATAGGATATTGATGTCTATCAGAAATACGGCAACGACTATTCAGAAGATTATGATGACTTCATGTAAATACTGTTGAGAAGCGGCTAATATAGTGCATATAGAAACTTTTGCTTCAAGGTTTTTTGTTATAAAATTTAAATGGAATTCCTACAAATAGATTGCCACGATCAACATCTAAAACTGTACACTTAAATTTTTTGGATAACAAATTTCTAACATGCTTGTGAATTCATTTTATATTATTATACTTTATTAAATAATGTATAAAAGAAAAAAATACACTACATACTTTTGCGACTTTTGATATCTGCACACGTTTTTTGGAGAAGCTATCGGCGTGTGTGCCACATTGATGATATCCTAATAGCGTAGGCAACTGATTTGACAAATGATTAGATTTAATAAAGTTAATCAGTACGAAAGACAACTAAAAAATTTACACCAACCACGGCTATACTATAAAGATGTTTTTGTTTTGCTTAATTACAATTTTTTACTAGCACTCCTATCGCGAATGTCGACTAGTAGTAGATAAACGACTCTTATTCGAGTATCGCTTTTCCATGGTATTGAGCACGTCGATTTCTCGTTCAATAAGCGACTGTGAATAGTTTTTTATCGCTCATTTTTCTACGACTGTTAGTTTGTAGAAGGATGAGCGACTATAAACCATTCACACGCACTTATTGAAAGAGAAAACGACTTTGAAAATACCACCGATAATCGATAATCGCCTAACAGTCATTTATCTACTACTAGTCGACACTCGCAATGTATGTTGGATGTTACATACATATGTATTATACCGCTGACATTATTTATAATGATTTAATAGGTAGAAAAACTATGGCACCTTACGTTATCTTTCAGTGGTCAAACGCTCGACGACTTTTCTAAATATCCTCAGTTTCCTACCAATATTAAGAGGATGGCAACCCTAGCTTTCGCGTCCTTTTTGTTCGAATTCGCTACTATTAGGGATGTTCAGTAGGAAGTAGGAAAAATTCTTTAATTTTCAGGTTTTTTAAATAACTTTTAATTGCAGGTCTGGTGACTATTTTATTCGATATTATTTATAACAAACCATTTAATTATAGTTCATATGGAGAAAATGTGGGGGAGGATCATTTAAGGAGATTTAAAACAACATAAATTACTGAAGGAAATTGATTAATTTGTGAGAATGCTTAATTTGTGGGAATTAATAGGGCTGTTAAGGATATTGTGTATATGATTTTGCATTTGCATATTTCGGAGCATTTGTAAAGTCACAACAATAGAACACTTGTCATATATCCTGAACAGCTCCACTCTGTTTGATGGAGATAAATAACAAACCTGCAATTAAGAGTTTTTCAAAAAAAAAAAATGTTGGTCAAACTCCCTTTTTTGCAAAATTGAAAAACTAAAATGGCGACCCAATAAATTTTCGATCACTTTGATTAACCCCTCCCCACAAGCAAACCTAGTGCTTTCAAGGAGACATATCTTTTCATATGTATGTATATATTTCTAAATGCGAAGTAAAAATAGCACCTTTCACGATGGTTTTCCAGAAGACCTCAAAATGCAGAGTTTTTAAGGTTTTGTTTTTCTTGAGAGGAGCAAACTGATATATGAAGTTTTGATATTTTTATGATTTTTTTTTTTGTTGTTAATGCCAAAAACTGTTTTTCAAGAACGACAAATTTTTACAACTAGTCAATTTCATTTTCAATTCAGAAAACCAGACAACGTAGAGATAAGTTTCCGATATTTCAGGTATCGAAACAAAATATTGTATCGATATCGTATCGTAACTTCTGATATCGATATAAATTAACGGATATGTTGAACAACGATATTGATATCTTGAATATCGTAGAATACGCCTTGATCGTATCGGTATTGCACATAATCAAAACAAATGAAAGAAAAGTTAATTTCCAGCGGTAAATAAATGAAATTTTTAATATTTGGTTCGTAATTGCCAACTAATTAAATCCTTAGGCGGCGAAGCATTCGATTCCCGTCAAAATAGTTCAAATGATGACTCCGAGGACACCACAAACGTATCGGGTGATGAGGACACGTGCGGCCTGCAAGAGGTAAACGATCTGTTTCAAATTAAATGCAAAATCGCAGATGAATCTGCAGTGTCTTTGAGAAACGACTACGTGCTTAGCTTAGCCGCCGACAGGTGAGTTGTCTTAGCCTTTTCTTATATCAGTATTATTCTAGTAGCATTCTACTTCCCTATGTAGTGGCTTCACACGTGTTGCCGCTGGATTATCAAGCGCTACAGTACACATATTCGATATCAATGCCCAACGAACACTCTCGACATTATCCGATATACCGGCGCCAGTAACCAATGAGCGTACGACTACTTGCGGTGTACGGTTTTTAGATGAAACACCCAATTGTTTATTAGTTGGCAGCAGTCATGGTTTAGTACGCCTTTTCGATTTACGCACACAAAGCGAGCAAGCACGTTTCGAAGAGGATATCGAGTTTACACAAAGTATTTCTAATTTTCGGGCTGCGAAAGGCATGCACATGCAAAAAACTATAAATTGCTTTGATACCAATTCGAATGGACGTATACTTTGCACTGGAACTAACCAAAGTCAAGGAAATGTATTTTTGTTTTTCTATGATATACGAGAACGCAAACCCCTTGGTGCTTACTTTGATAGTCATGAAGATGACATAACCGCATTATGTTTTCACGCAACGAATCCTGATCTTATGTGCTCAGGCTCAACAGACGGCTTAATAAATGTGTATAACCTCAAAGAGGCAACGGAGGATGATGCGCTGTTAACAACCATTAATACGGAAAGTAGCGTACAGATGCTTAACTGGTGTGCACAAATTTTATAAGTCCCTTCTCAAGCACTATATTTTTTAAATTCTATTGGACATTTTCAGGCATAAAAATGTTTATGAACATGACCTTATTTCTTGCATTACGCACTGCCATGATTTCCATGTGTACCTTGCTGATGAAGCTGATGTGGTGGCAAAGTTTGAGCGTGAAAAAATTGCCGAGGCTGCAAAAGGAATAAACGAGACGAAATGTAATGTGATCGGGGCTCATAGCTTGGAAAACGGTGACCTGTTTCTGCTTGTCGGTACAAATCGTGGCAAAAGGTAAGTTAATTAAAATTACAATGAAGGCAATAATGAGTAAAATTGTTTAAATTGAACACAAAATATATGCACGATTATTGCCTTTTTGAATCATACAAATGTACATATATACATAGATGTGTATTCCATTAATTTTGTTACAGTGAAGTGTTGCGTTCGCTACGTTTAGGCAAAGATTTGCTGCCAAGGGCAGATTTTATTGGCAATAAACAGCTTGTTCGTGCAAGCATATTTGACCAAAAGGTAATTATTAAGTTAACTGGAATTAAGTTTTTACTAATTTTTATGTACATATATGTATTTATAGAGCGGTACCGTAGCGACTGGCGGTGAAAGTGGCTTTGTAACCCTTTGGACGACGGAGAACACAACTAATGATGAGCCAGTTTTAACCAGTAGCTCGAGCGGCTTAAAACACAAAAGTAAAAAATTAAAAAAGAAAACGCCTTATTAATTTGTAATTCATTCTATATCACTTTAATAAAAACTGCATCAATACAATACATAAGGCGTATTTTTTTTTTACTATTAGAGGAAGTTTACTAGTTTAAACATTGAACCTTAATCTTAAATAAGATAAAATTATTAAAGCAAGAATCAGCGCAAGTGAAATAGAATACTTGATGTACTTAAATTGTAACTATTTGCTCAAAAGTTGCTTAGAGGCATACTGTCGCGAAAAAAATACTAAATATTACATTTGCGATCCGATATTTGCCTCAACTTAACATTTGGAATGCTCTAATTAAATTCAAATTCATTTTATTTAGGGTAACCCGTGGAGATCGTTGTCACTATAAAGAAGTTCAACACGATCGTACACAGATTTTGTGTGCTTGAGCATTTCGGGTAGCACCTCAATTGCACGCGTTACATTCATACACACGCGTTTTAGTAATTCACCCTGTGTAGGTAGAGCGTACATAGCGACCACAGCTCCTTTGCGTACCACCCACGGATGATGTTTCGCTAAGGTATCGTTGTATGCACTCTTGCAGCACGCGTGTGCCTTATCACATTCATTTAACTCGGACAATCTTCTAAGAAACTCATATATAAATTCTGAAACGTACAAAGAGGAGAAAAGGGTAATCAGTGCGATTGTGCTAATAAAGCAACTTCGTAGATCACAAATAAAAAGATACTATGCACATTTAAATGTACTACATACACAAATGAGACATATTCAACTTATCTACTTTGATAATTTGCAGCTACTAAGATAAGCAAAGCCACTTTCCAGCATTCAAACACTTTGCCTTCATGCCAACTCACCCAATCCTCTATGTAATCGTAGAAGCGTCCGACAGCCTGACACATAGCTATTATCCTTAAGAAGCTCCTCATCTTTTTCGTAGGATATCATTGTTTTAATAGTCACAAAACGTTCTCCAGTTGATTCATTTCGCCTGTACTCACAGAGTATATCGATTTTACTGCGCACGTCGCTACTCACAAATCCGAATACCGTGCCCATCAATTGGAAAAACCTAAAGAAAAAAAACGTTAAATAAAAATCGCCTGGGCGCCAATGTAGTTTTAATACTTATTGATCTCCTCATAAGCCTCCAAATAGGAATCTAGTAACACATCATCACTATCATGCAAACAATCCTGGAATATTTTTGCCACTTTTTCTATGTCAAAGCGTTCTGATGCAGACATGTCTTTGATGTTAAATGATAAATTCTATACAAAAATTATTGTTTATTAAATTCTATAAATCCAATTGGACAATGAAGATTGAAATATCAGAACAGGATCACAACAAAGAAAATGATTACAAGATTAGCACTGTTGCCAACTTCCTGCTTTTCGTGCTAAATTTTGTGCTTTTCTTTATTTAAAACGCGGAATACTTTGACTTTGGTGCTTTGAAGAGGAGGCAGTTAATGCGCCGGTGGATAATACGCACAAATAAGACACATTAAAAAGGGAAATAAAATTTGGTCGGAAAGAAAAGTTCTTTACGTTCCTTTAGTTTATGAGATCATAAGAGAGTGCAGTCTAGATTTAAACCTCCACATAGTTCATGAAACTTAATTTTTTGTTTTTATTTTCGCTTGATAGGAATTGTAGAAAAAATTAAGCGAAGTGAAGAAAAATTTAATATTTAAATAGCTTAAATCTAAGCAACGCTGGACACCGCTGCAAATTAGAAAATAAGAACAAAAATGTTTACGCCGCGTCATTTGGACGAAAATATTCGAATTCATAGAAAACAGAATAAATTCGACCGTCGAGCAAGAAACATTTATTCATTTGAATCACCATACCTACCATAAAGTCCAAAATAGTCTATTAAATCCAAAAAATAAAAATTTTTTTGCTTTTTTCGTATTCAAAGCTTGGCAACACTGAAGATTAGACGTTTGTTTCAGGGTTGCTTTTTACACTTTGCCTTTGCTGTCAAGTTTTGTTCGCTTACCTTTTGATTTCCGTTTCTGATGCAAATAACTTTTACAATATGCTTTAAGGGTATTCATAAATGCTTATATGCCAAGGTTGTGAAAAAATGCAATTAAAAAATAGTGCTAAACTATTATAATATATATGTACATTTCATCCTTCGGTCGTAGTCTAAACATCGCACTCAAAAAAAAAAAAAATAGAAACAGTGATGGCTCTTTAGCCGAGTCATTAAACCTTATCACTAGATATTGGGGCGTATTCTTGCTTTTGTACGAATCAAAAATCATGAAATTTTCCTATCATTTTGTATTCAAAAATTTCAAATTTTCGATTCGTACGAAACCCAGAATACGCCTCATTATCGTTTTGTCGTTCTAACCATTCCCTCTTATTTTTTCAGGATGTCTTTGAGTGACAAAAGTCTTTGCTAAGACCATGGTGGTCAGAAGACATCCCTACGAACACACATACGAGATCCATATATTGATCGTGGAATTGAAGGACCTGACTATCTAAAAAAGAGAGGCAATAAACGACATTCACCACCATCCTCAGACGAACAGCTTCAACTGCTTCAAGAAAATCTGCTTAACTCTGCCGCAATTAAGGTCGGGATACTGTTGCTGGATTGCAATAAGATTTAGTGGAGCTTTTGGGTATGCTGATAATAATACTACTGTAATACTGAATTCCTTTTGTTGTGTCCAAGCAGCCTCATGTGTGAGATACATAGCCCGTGTGGAGCCTGATGTTAGGGTTCACTGAAATCTGCAGCGTCTACTCCAAATGAGGTGCGCCTGCAAACTTATTGAATACCTGCAAACAATAGATCGTGGGCTGGGCTTGGAACTCGCCACGTAAAAACACTGTCTGGGGAAGAGACCTGATGAGCCTACTACGGTTTACGGTTATGCACCTGGTATGTTCGGACTCTCGGAGAAGCTACGCCTATGCCTCTTCTGGCTGCCATAACCAAATACAAGGCTAACATTTCCCGCAGGTCATGTAATACGACAGACAGGACATCCACAAAGCCACTTTTGTGTCTCCCGATCAAAAACCAAGAACAAAACTGAGCACATAGCGATTGATGTCCTTCCATTTGGTCTTTCCATCGCAGTAGGGGTATCCTTCTCCCTCTGCTACCTCCAGCGGGTTCTGAGTTGAATATTTTCAGGGCTGGAGTGTCGGTATCCATTCGAACGGCATGGACAAACCAACGAAGCCACTGAATTTTAATTCGCTGCACTATATCTATGTATATCGTTGTAAAAAGCTCACACAGCTCATCGTTAAATCGTCTGCGGTACTCGCCGTCGGCAACGAGAAAAGGCCTGTAAATCTTCCGCAGAATCTATCTCTCGGGAACCCCAAGAGCCGCGTCATTGGGTGTTATCATTGTCCAAGCTTCTGCGCCATATACCAGCACGGGTATGATGAGTGGCTTGTGGTACGACGAGAGAGGACTTTACTTCTGAATTGCCTAGTCAGTCCAAAGTAGCCTTTGTTGGAAAGAGTGATTCTGCGTTGGATTTCACGCTCTTGCAGTAAATTGTTTTTGAGCGGTTCAATTCTGCGACTCTTATTATTTTCTCCATCAGATTAACACACATGAAAGGGAGTCGCCCTGTTTGAAACCCCGTTTGTTAGTAAACGGTTCGGAGACAAACTTACTGCATATGCTGCATATATGATATTTCTGTTATATTAAGTGGAAATTATCTGTCCATACTTAGCCCACTACGGGGCGTACATCTTTGGGCGGCCGAAGCGGGGGCTTAGTGTCAACGTAGAAAAGTCAGACCAGGAAATACAACGTTCCGAATTGATCTAAACCTGAAATGGATGGAATGATCCTCCAGGTGAAGCATAGCACCAAGTACCCCAGAATAATAACAGTACGCTGTCGTAGCGACTCAATGTAGAGAAGAGGGTGAAAAGGCTTCCCTGGCATTTTTATAATGGCAAAGGATTCTAGGATACATCTGGGGCTTATCGCCTTTTCTTCCTCACTTTGCATAGAGTATTGGTGTGGTGAACAGCAATGGGGAAGAAAACATTTCTTAAGAGAATAGAAAATGTATATAGGCTATCAACGATCGGCATGACAGGGGCACTTAGGACTACACCAATAGCAGTACTTCACACCTTGGCTTCCCTTTCCGGCGGATCTATCGGCCAAAAATATAGCGTCAAAAACTATTGATAGGCTTTATGCTACGGGACAGGTCTTATGGTCACCGTAGTATAGCGTCAACTTTACATAGACGGATTGACTATATCATCCCAGATCTTCACTCTTGTACTAACTTCTAAACCCCTATAGAGGTCGATGGCTGGCGTGAGGGCATGAGGACTGCTGGCTCGGTGAATGTCTATAAAGACGGATCGAAGTTTAAGAAGGGCGTAGGGTCCGTAGCCGTTTGAGCGGAGCTGTCAAACTACTACAGCATTTTCCAGGTGGAGGTAATGGCCATAAAGAGGGTGGCGGTGAAGCAGGTGTATCTCTATATCGGCAAACAGGCTCTAAAAGTGTGGCGGAGTGCATGGCACCTCTGGATTTGGAGGATAGGCTTGCCAAAGGGGGTGCTTTGTAGGAAACCATGCTGATAGAGGAATCCATGCTGATAATAATCCTGAAGGCGTGGAATTAACATTACAGCCCACGTTTTAGGCGATTATTGCTTATGTCCACAGATTTAATAATTGCGCCGAGTATTTAATATTCAGCTCCGCCCGAACTTAGACTTGTTTACTTGTTTTAATATAAAAACTACTTTCCATTTCGAGCTTCTGAGTTATAGCTTATTCTTGAAGAAGATATTCAATTACGCTTAAAACTTATATTTTCTGACGAAAGTATTTTCTGGTCACCTTAATTTGCTTACCTGTGCTTTGTGGCTTAAATCAACAATTTGTTCGCAGCAAGTCACGATTAATTTTCTCCTGTACTCACTCACACACACACATCTAAACCGTAAACTCACCAACTAAGTGACGTCTCTTGTGCTCTGCGCCATCTTTATTGGTGTAATATTTGAAAAGTTAACGAACAAAAGAACGAGCACACCACCGCAAGCGGTCGAGCGCCAAGTAATGTATCTACGGCTATGTTGTATCTTGTTTATGCCACTCATTCGCTGTGCAACAGTCATCGCTTGTGGACATACGTGAAAAGTGAACGGAGTGTTTCAGAAGAGTGTGTTATTGGAGTTAGTACCTAATTGGCAAGACTAAACTGGGCTTAAAGTAAAACGTTAACATAGAGGTCTGAGTGCATGCATTTATATGCGTTTCAAAAGCAACGAAGCAAGTCAACCAAGATAAAAGAAAAGAGCAATAAACAAGAGCCTAAATAAAAATTTCTAGTGTAATATTTTGTGGTAGCCCCAATAAAGCTGTGGTTTGAAATTAAGGTGAAATTCATCAGCATCCAAACGTGAAAACGAAGAGAGACACCTACAACCTAGGCAGCCCAACTGTGTGTGTGTGTGTGTGCGTGTGTACAAGTCGAGCTACGATTGTGCTGAGCAATTTTATACATTTTACGCTTTATGTGCTTTCGCTCTTCGGGTTTAATTCGAATGGATGCAAAGTGATCGCCAAACCTGACTCAGAATTCTCACAGACAGACCAGCAACAGTTAAAGTGTATACGGGCAGAAAGAAGCAGCAAGTAAGCCAATCGGCCAGCTAGTAGTCTTTAAAAGTTTATTGTTCAACATACAATAAGCTATATTGCAATATATAGGTACATATAATATAATCACTAAGCTATTTAGGGTGTGGTACAGAAAATTCCATAAAGTAGTAAAAATTTAAAAATTTCTAAAGGAAATTCGCGTGAATAATCAACGTTACAGATTAACTAGTTTGTGCACACATACATACATACATACATTAACTATGTGCTTATTGTCGCAAAAAAGATCAACAACCAACTTCATGGCCAACACAATGTCCTCTTCCACCTCCGTTGCCGTCGCCATTGTTGTCTGCTTGTGGACGCTTATGGCGGGCAGTGCGCAAGCGCAACGTACTCCAACAATTTCGTACATTACACAAGAACAAATTAAGGATATTGGTGGCACAGTCGAATTCGATTGTTCGGTACAGTACGCCAGTGATTATCAGGTTCTATGGTCAAAGACTGATACTGATGCTGTCTTCCTATCCACCGGTTCAACGTTAGTGATTAAAGATTCACGTTTCTCGCTACGTCACGATCCCAATTCTTCCACATACAAGCTGCAAATTAAGGACATACAGGAGACTGATGCAGGTACCTACACCTGTCAGGTGGTCATTTCCGTTGTGCATAAAGTTAGCGCCAACGTAAAGCTATCGGTACGTCGTCCGCCTGTCATCTCCGACAACTCAACGCAATCGGTGGTGGCGAGTGAGGGC